CAGCTCCTATGAAGGAAAACATATAGTTAGGGCTATCTTACATTCAGAGGTTTAGTCTATTATAGCCATGGTGGGAAGCATGATCTCATGCAGGCAGACATGGTGCCGGAAAAGGAACTGAGTGTTCTACATCTTAATCTGAGGACAACAGGAAGAGACAGTGAACCACTAGGCCTAGTGTGAGCTTCTGAAACATTAAAGCCTACCCCCCCAGTGACATACTTCCTCCAACAAGCCATACCTTCTAATAGTGCCACTCCCTATGGGCCCATATGGGCCATTTTTATTCAAACCACCACAGTATGCAAGTACCAGAAGTGTATGAAGGCCAGAAGAGAGCAGTGGGTCCTGTGGAGTTGGAGTTAAAGATAATTGTGAGCTGCCTGGCATAGGTGCCATAATTAAGCTGGAGAACAGCAAACTCCCTCAGCCACTAAGCCAACTCTCTAGCTCTTAGACCTTAGGTAGCCTTGCCTTTTTTCTTTTTATGAAGTGCCTATTAAGATTTTAAATTGAATTTTGGTGTTAATTTTCTCCCTGTTTATTTATATTCATCACACATCTGGAATATGGGTCTAATAGAAGATATATATTAAAAATATTTACCCTCACTTTCGTTCTTACTTGTTTTTTCCACTTGCAATAGTTTGTGTTTTGAGATTGGGGCTCATGTAGCACAGGCTAGCCTTGAAGTCACTGCAGATGACTTTGAACTTCTGGTCCTTCTGCTTCTACCTCCCATGTGGCAGCGCTGTGGATGTGTTCCATTATGCCTGGATAACAGAGTACTGGGATTCCAACACAGAACCTCTTACATATAGATAAACACTACTGTCTGAACTACACTGCCAGTCTCTACATTTTCATTCTCTTATATTATCTTTTAATAAATGCATCTTCTTTATTTTGGTGAGATCTAACTTACCAGTATTCGTTTTCTTTATGATAACAGCTTTTAAACATTTTTTTTTAAAATTAAAATTATACTATTTTTCCCCTTTCTCTTTCCTCCAGCCCCTTTCATGTAACCTCCTTTCCCAGTTCATGGCTTCTGCCCTCTTTTTCTCTAGTTGCTACACACGTGTATATATTTCTTTAATATATACATACAATCTTTTTACTCCAGCTATATGTGTCTGATTTCAGGGATGACCACTGGTATTGAATAACCAACTGGGGAAAGACATTTTTTTCCCTCCCACTCTCAGCATTCCTTAGTTGCTTTTAGTTCTTTGTCTATGATTGGGGCCCTATGAGATTTACTTCTTGTGTGTTAGCATGTTTGTTGGTGTTGTCCTTGTTCAGGTCTTGTTTAGGCAGCCATGATGTTGAAGTTCATGAGTGTAGCTTCCTTGAAAGTTTTAGGGGATACAAGCTCACAGCAGACGTCCCATTTCTCTGGCTCTTAGAATCTTTCTGCAAACAGCACCTGTTTTGTTCTATTAAAAAAACATTGCCCTTTCTTCATTTGCTTGTCTTGAGGGGGAAAATGTGCTGTTGAAAGTCAGTCCCAATTATACATGGTATGACTGGGTTCTGGAGGAAGAGCCCTGGGAGACGGTTGTGTGAAGAAGAATATTTATGAAGCACTTTGGTTTTTTAGAGCCCTTTATCATCTGTCCATGAGGGGCCTCTTTAAGGAGCTGTAGGAATTCCTAGTCGGTCTTGATGCCAGAGGAATTGGGTGGTACACACAAATACCGTGGGGGCTCTGGTGCCTCCACGTTTGGATGGCATCACATACCAGGGCTAGGAGTTGGATTGTGGACATGTAATCGCCCTGTACCCTACTGGGTGCCATCAGGGACAAGTTCTTACCTCTCTGAATCTTGGTTTTCTTGTCTTTTCAGTGGGAGTCATGAGAATGCACTTACCTCATGTCTCAGTGTTCATAGAGCACTTAGCACAGCAGGTGGTGTGCCGTGCTGGGCTAAACTGCTGTTCCATCACAGCATTGTAGATCTCAGAGATGTATAGAACCAGGAAGATCTCCAGTCCTATATCTCATTTCTCTTTCATTGTTTTATATTTCCCTTCTATATCCCATGTCTTCTCTCTTCTCCCTCAGTTTTTCTATGAAAAACGGACACACATTCCAAGCATGAACTAAGTAGATATGCTGTAACAGAAATTTTTAAAAGTTTGCTGATATGCAGTTTCACATCACAGAAGGTTTTCCTTGTTGTTTGTTTTGTTTGTTTGGAGATATGTTGCTAATCTAGCGGACTTGAGACAGTAACTAGAGAATAAGTCACTGTTTGATTCCAAAATAAAATTGGTCTTGGCTTCTTAGGAAAGTCACATGTAGGATTCATATTAGTGTTTTTAATTTAATGAAGGAAAAATACAAATAGTTCTCCCTAGAAAGTACAGTGCTGTATCCGGATGTACATATATGTGGCTGAGAAAATTGTCTGAATTTGGGGAATAGAATTATAACCAAATGTGTGATATCTGCTTTCTTCACCATCTATTGTCCAGGGTGTACTCCTCACCCCCAACACACACAAAGGTGGCAAGACTACACGTGGAAAATAATTTTGATATATCTATTTGAAGTGAAAACAACTCATGTTGACTTCCCTAGTTACTAAGGCCCAATTACCTCCCCCACCCTCTTACAGCCTCTGAGTTTTTTCTGAACTTCCTCTTGGTGGCTTTGGGTGGAAATATCACGCCATAGGCCACGAAGCTGATGTGACAACTGTGATACCTCTACACTCTTGGTGTTTGGGCAACTCTTGTGTTTAGGACTGTTTTCTTACAGGAAAGGGACTGGGGGTGTCTTGGCAGCTTGACTCCCAGCATAGAGAGTAGGGTTTTAGTACTAATAGACCAGAAAACCCAGAAGGAAAAGTTTGGGGTGGAATGGGTAGTTCAGGGCATGGGCCTTTGGCATAGCTACACATCAGGATCACTCTGATTGCCCAAGGCCAGCCCAGAAATTCAGTGTCAGTAGGGAGGGGTTGGACTGAGAATCTACTTTTTATTTTTATTTATTTTTTTAAGATGGATTGCTGGATTCAAATAGGTGGTACCAGCAAACAACACAAAGCAAGCAAAAATTAAATAACAAAAAAATACAGCTGCACTTAGAGAATGGAAGCTGGTTGCTTGTGAACTTTGCAGCAGGCCATAGCTTCTTAGGCTTTTGATTTCAAAGCACCTTTGTGCTTGGTTTTTAAAGGAGGAAAGGGAAATGTCAGCTTTGCTCTCCCTCCAGGCCACGGGCTCAGTTCTGAGGAGCCACAACTGGGAGCAGTCTACAGACACATGGGGAGTCTGGCCCCTCAAATGGGCTGCTGGATTGAAAAGGTCTTTGGGTCTGAGAAGAGGAGGAAGAGGCTTGGCAGAAGCTGTGCGAGAAGAGTTAGTCTGTCCTTGGACTCACCTTTCTCTTCTGGTGCTCGTGCCCTGTGTGGCTTCAAGGAATGATGTCCTTCTGAGGGAATGGTGTCCTTCCATCCTCAACACACCCACCTACTCTAAACCTCATTTTCCTGCCTCTGTGGAGGCAGACTTGCCAGGGTGTGTCCTCTCTCCCCGCCCCTTACTCCTTCACATTCCCTTCCACCGAAAGCTCCTTTTGGAGGTGGGAGGGTGGCTGACAGGAGCAGGGTGTTGAACAGTGGGCCCCAGCCATGAACAGGGATGATAGAGCTTAGCAGACAGATTCTTGCTGTCTTCATCCCTGCCGTGGGTGGTTTAGCATCTTACAGAGGGCATGTGGGCTTTAGTTTTTGATCAGTTGATCTTTCTGTCTTCCAGGATTTCTCAAACTTTGAAGATGAGGGTTTAAAAGAGCTATTCTTAAACTTTAAAAAAATATTTTTAATTTATCGTTTGAGGATTTTATGCATGTACACAATGTGCTTTGGTCAAATTCACCCTTGGACCCTCCCTCTCCTCTGGGCCCTTTCATATTCCCCCAACTTCTTTCTGACAACTTCATGTACACATTTTTAAGCCCTCTGAGTCCACTTAATCCTGTCAGTGTGTGCACGGGTGTAGGGCTAACTACTAAAACATGGGCAATCTATCAGGAGCCTGGCATGGAGTGGGGACAAGTTCCTCTTCCAGCAGCCATCAGCTGCCAATACCTCATTAATTAGAGGTGGGATCCACCAGCGCTGGGACTTTTGAGGGTTACTGTCCTCTTTCTTATTTTTATAGGCATTTAAATGTTTCAATAGAATGCACATATGTTTGGAGGGGAAATGGTTTGTGGGCAGCATGGAACCAACACTAACTAAAGAAACTGCCTTGAGGAGTGTGTGACATTTTCCTCAAGTCATTTTACTGCTCATTCTCTTCTGTGGGGAGCGCCATTTGTAAAGGGAAGCGGGGTTTGGTGCTGTGTGAACTGTCTGGAGTGCTTGTTCTCCTTGTGAATAGTAAGTAGATTTCACCGAGAGTACGAACAGTGAATGTCTGTGTAGCACTCCGCTTCTGACATTCGGGTAGTCATTCAAGCAATTTACATACATTTAATTTAATTGTAATTGCAAAGCCAGCCCACTTTATAAAATTTGGTGACGAAAGCAGTTTAGAAGCATTGGGTTTGATATTAAGAACTATGAAGTATTCAAAATGGGTATGTCTCTTTTTATCCACAGTCAGCTTCATTCACTTTAGAAAATACTTACTGCATTCCCTCTTTTAGCAAAACATCTAGTTAAGCAAATGGGTCATTTCCAAGGAACAAGCATGCTCTAAAGGAACCTGGTAGTTAGTAATTTTCATCCTTTTTCTCTACCTCTTGCCCTTGTGAGAGAGACAGGTGTATTGAGAGGGATGCAAGGAGGTGGCGTTGCTTTCTGAGATGGGAGGCTTGCCAACAGGAGCAGGATGCTGTGCCCCTCCTCATGCAGTTGGCTTCAGTGTCCTCTCACTCTGATAAGTGGGTGTCTCTGAAATAGTCTGTAAAGACATTTAAGAATACTGTCAGTTTCTCTTTCTGTGGCACTGTGGTCACGTATGTGCCTCTCCTTTTTTTCTAGGCCAGGGGTTATCACCATGCAGGCGTTGTCGGAAGAAGACCGTAGGCTCTGGATGGAAGCCATGGATGGCCGGGAACCCGTAAGTAACAATTCAGGGAAGTGGAACAATACAGGCCCGAGTAGTGCGATACTACCTCCCTGCAAGAGTTCTTCGCTATTGCTCTAAAGCCTTGAGTCCTTGACAGTGATGTCACAGGGGCATTTTTCATTTGTAGATTGATGCTTGTAGATACTACAATTGCTTCTGTATGTATGCAGCTCCCAAGTTTTGGCCTTGGCTCTTAAGGTAGAAGTTCTATGTGATGGTACAGCCCCAGGTTTTCCACATTATAGTCATAGGTATATTTTTTCTGGGCCTCTTAAAGGGAAAGAGTAGTCTGTACGACTGGGTGGCTGTTGGTCATATGTTGCCTTCACAAAGTGGGCTGCAAAGCACAAGGCCAGCTGTTTTTAATGGGATGTATGGTTGTAAAAGTATACTTAGGTGATGCAGCGTCTTTATCATCATCATCATCTGATTAGGTTTCCATTGCTATGGTGATTCACACCTCATAAGCAGTAGGACATTATCAGGGTAGATGGAAGCAGTTAAGCCTGGCGACGTGATCTGTGCTCCCATTTCAGAGATGCTGGCCTCAGCAGGGTTATGTGATCTTGTGGTTGTTATGCAACATGTGACATGTAGAGCCCATCTGAGAGCTCTGGGGTAAGTCCCCAAATAGACCTTTTTATCTCAGAGCTGAGAATCTCAACTACAGTTTTACAGTATTAAGGTTACAAAAATCCTAAGAGTAAAGAACAGCCAAATTCTATCATAAAAGATAAAAAGATTCTACACGGATAAAACCATGATCCAAAGAGGGAGATGTGTACCTAAAAAGGCAGAGAGCATGGCTTCTGCTGCCTAGAGGACACTGTGAATCAAGCTGCTTCCCCTTGCAGATGATCTGCGCTCATCTGCGGCTCTTTCCCAGGCTGTGCTGGTTGGATGATCTGGCAATACAGAGGAATGTGCTGTTCTACCCAACTGTATGTTGTATGAGTCCTGTGTTTACAGGACTCACTGTAGTTAACAAAACACAAGCAATAACCAGTGTTTGTATAACCTTTGGTAATGCAGATTCATATTTAAGCAACTACTTAAAGATGAAGTAAAGTTGGATAAACTATAATGAAACAGCTGCTTAATCTAAATTATTTTCTTGGGTCAAAATATAAGATAGCCTCAATATATGTAAATATATATATTTATAATATATATATATAGTTATCCATAGAAACACTCCTAACTGAGCACCATATGAGTGTGTTGTAAAATTTAATATTTTAAAATCTACTTATTTCTCACTGCCTTAGGAAACAGGTGTTGTTGTGATTCATTGTATAGATGAGAACAATAGGTTTAGAGAGATTGAATAACTCACTGCAAGCGTCACAGATAATAAGAGGTTACCTTTGTAGAGAACAAGCCAGGATGCTGTATGGTGAAGAGACACAAAGTGTAGTAGCAGGTGTGGATGGAAGTGTGTTTGCCTGTCAGAATTCTCACCTGGGCTTTCCATACCTTGCCCCATGGTTTCCTGGGTTCTTCTGTCAGTACTCTGCTCCAACCTGAAAATGGAGTTGGAAGCATCCTGGGAAAGCATTGTGAAGTACTTAGAGGTCTTGTGCTGCAGTAGTAAACATGATGTGGCCATATGTGCCTTCAGATGAGAATGAAGAAATCCAGATGCACACAGGTAGCCAGCGGCCCTGCCATCGGTTCCTAGTGCACTTCAGGGAAGAGGAGGAGAAATGATGCCGTGAACGGCCCGCAGGCTCTGCTCTAGTGGCACAGCCGAGGTCTATCTGCAGAAGTATTTAGGTTTCATCTTTAAACTGTCTTCTGAGGATTCATGCTCAGTTACTTCTGCAGTTCTTACTTTCTCTGGCTCTCTTGAATGACTCCCCAGACTCATAGAATGGGAAATCCCCAGAGTGAAAAAATCCCGCCAGTGCATGATATCCTTGGTTTAAAAAGTGAAATAATAAACCAACAAAAACCTGTTTTCTCGCTGCCGCCAGCTCAACTTCTGATACTGCTGTATCACCATTTCAGCCTCTTGTTGCACACCTCTCTGCCACTTGATGCTTGTTCTGCACCTGTGTGCAGTTGGCTTCTTACTAGTCACTTCAGAGTTCCCATCGACATCACCTGGCCTCTGCAGGTGGAAAGTGTACTCCAGAAAAAAACTCCTTTTGCTCTAGAATGTATGCATTGATAATAAGTCTAAACACAAGATAATTTTGTCTCTAAATATTTTATGAACCTGTTGCCACAGAGGAGCATATAACGTGTGTGTTGGAAACTATATATACTATGGGCTTTTCAGCGTCCTAAAGGGAAATATAAATACAGACAAATGAGGGCTGCGTAATTGACAGTAACATGAGGTGTAATTTTGTCTCCCACTGTTGAGAGCATAGTAGACAATTAGCAGCTCCATTTTAATCACCTCCTCCCTAATTGGTTAAATGTGTCCCCTTGGGAGTTTTGGCTTTCTCTGGTTGGCTTTTCTGCAGGCTGGCTCCCTAATATTGGGAGATTTTCTTGTGTTGGGGGATGTAAACATGGGCATGCGCTGGCCTAGAATATCACTCAGTAGTAGAATGCTTTTGGAGGCAGTGCTAGTGAATGTTAGTTTCTTTTCTTTTTGTTCTTTCGTTGCTCAGTATCACATTAGGTTGACTTGGGAAGGACATCTAAATAAACCCCAACCTACTTGATTTTGTAACATGTTCATTATTACATAAACTACAATTTTTGGATGATAATCATACTCTATCTTAAAGACATGTGAAATATTTTCATGATATTGATGGATATGTGATAGAGGAAGAAATCGGAGCTGTATTTCAACATTAAACACTATGGATTTTATCCAGATATCAGTAAGATCTTTCAATTCAAATGAAGGGGCCCCAGTTCAAACTTGCTTGTGAAAACGCTGTGTTTGTTGGATGGTGTAACTGAAAATAGCACAGTGTAGTATTTTTTTTTGGCCCATTTGCATCAATTACATAATGTTTGAAGTTGGCTGCTTTTCTGCTAGATTTATTTTCTAATATATTCTTTCCACATACAGCAATAGGCTTCTTAACTATTCCAGGCTCATATCTTATATCAGGCATATACCATCACCATCACCATCTCTTCTTCTTCATCTTTATCTTCTGAGATGTTCAGGCTTGCCTCCAATTTGTATTTTGTGTGTGTGTGTGTGTGTGTGTGTGTTGTGTGTATGTGCATGTACGTACATGTGTCTGTGCATGCACACATGTGTGTATGCCTCCATGTGTGATATTGGAGTATGAGCCCAAGGCCTTGAGCATGCTATGCAACTGTTCTACCACTGGATTGTATTTCTAATCTCTACATCTTATTATTAGGAATTTATGCCAGGAAAATTTATGAGACAGGCCAGATAATATTTCAGACTTTGTGGGCCACATAGTGGCTGCTATAGCTAGTGAAGTTTGCTATATGTGTTCAAACGTAGCCAAAGACGGTATACTAATGAATGACTGGTGTCTTTCAATGATAATTTTGCTTACAAAAACAAATAAGTTGGATTTGGGTTAGGGTTTTGGTCTGTATATACATTGGTAAGAGAATTTTTTTTTTTCAAAATGACTTCAAAGAAATTTTATATTTGAATTCTATTGACATAAGCACTTTGTCCAGAGAATGTCATAGATGTAGCAACCAGACCTGACATGCTCACTGAAACTGTCAGTGGTGAATTGGTGTCCTCTGGAGAAAAATCATTGCTGTGTGGCAGAGGAGGGTGAGCATGAGATTGGGAAAAGGGGTCGTTTCCTTACTCTGAGACACATCTTCTAAACCATCTTTTCTCTCTGATCTTTGATACTTGATCACACATCCATCACTAAGGTCACACTTAGCATAAAAGACTTAGTGCTTTTCCCCAAGACTGGGACAAACAGAGCCTCTCACCACTCATTCGGCTGAGTCCTGGGAGCAAAAAAATAATACAAAAGACAGATATATTGGCAAGAAAGATGTAAAATTGCCACATTTTTATATAACATGGTTATCTATGTAGGTAATGCCTAGTAGTTTAAACAAAACAAAACAAAAAAAAACAAACAAAACCAAACTCCCAAGTAAGCACTAGGAATTAGATGGTAAGCTCTCCAAGATGACAGGGTACTAGATTCTCTCCCCAACTCATCATTATACGTTTGTAACCTAGCAATAAGCAAATGGTATCCAAACTTACGAATACACTGTAGTCACTTGCACAGATGTAAGTGAGCACTGGGGAGTGTCAGTGAAAGCAGAGCTGAGCAAATGCGTTGCACCCACAGGCTCACCTGCTAAAGAAGTCAGCTCTCCGAACTGATCCATAGGCTTAATGCAATTCCTATTAAGACTGCTGCAATTTTCAAAGGCGTAGGAAGTAGACGAGCTACAGCAATTAAAAAAAGAATGAAGTCGAATAATTATTCTACTCTATTTTAAGACTTCCTTTAGATGACAGTAATCAAGACATTGTGTTGACAGTGGATAGACACCTGGATCAATGGAACGGAATAAAGAATCCAAAAAAGGACTCCTACAGAAATGTTCAATTGATTTAGACAGAAGTACAAAAGCAATTCAATGAAGAAAAAAGCTCGTTCTTTCTTTCTTTCTTTCTTTCTTTCTTTCTTTCTTTCTTTCTTTCTTTCTTTCTTTCTTTCTTTCTTTCTTTTTCTTTCTTTCCTTCTTATCAAATACAACCAAAACAAAATGAAAAACAAAACAAAACAAAACCCATAAATGCTGCTTTTTAAAAGTAACAGACACCGTGGGCAAAAGCCAGGAACCTCAACTGAAATCTTGTATTTTATATGAATTAATTCAGAGTTAATCATAGATTTATGTATAAAATGTAAAATATAATACTGTTATGTTTTGATGTAGGGCTATGTGAATTTTTAAACATGACACCAAACATATGCCCATAAGGGGATAATTTTTTTTCAGCAAATTTAAAACTTTTGCTTTTGTACATGTAAGATACTGTTGAGAAG